GAGAGAGAGAGAGAGAGAGAGAGAGAGAGAGAGAGAGAAAGATCAGTCCCATACGTTGCATGGGTAATGGAACCCACGAAAAGCTTGCTACGTACTGATTTTTGCCGAATAATCCACAGTGACAGCAACTTGTCGAAAATTTATAGCACTTATTTTTTTAAAACCACTCCTTTATTCACGAAACCAGTTCTTAATCAAATATAATACCGGCATCCATTATTGGACACCTTTCACTGAAATCGACTTTTTGACATTATGAACTTTCTCATCGGACGCACGTTGTCGACAAATTACAACAGAAACTCAGCTGTCTGTTGAGACAGAAGTGTGGCTATTTTTTTTACATCAGCTAATAATTCTTTCTACTTTAAGGTTGAACGAAAAAAGAAAGCAAAACATTTTTATAGTTATAGTTACGGTAGCTGGTTAAGGAAAATGAAGCGTACAAAGGGAGGATATAAAAACCGTAATCACAGAGTGGACGCATTAGTGGAAGATGCGATGACGTTGAAGGAAGCCTAAATAGAAAGTGCTGGTAAAGAGAGTGAGTCGATATCTCCCATGGAAAGAAGTCCGTAGGCAAAGGGACAATGGTCTGTGATTAGAGGTGATCCCAGGGTGAACTATGGTAACGAATGAGCTAGAGAGGGGAGGGAGTACAAGAAGAAAGGAAGAAAGGAGGTAAAGGGTTATTTGTGAGAGAGGGAGAGAGCGAGAGGGAGAGAGAGCGAGCAAAAGAGAGAGAGAGAGAGAGGGAGGGAGCGGAGAGAGAGTGAGGGAGAGGGAGAGAGAAAGAGAGAGTAACAGAGAGAGACAGAGAGAGACTGAGAGAGAGAGAGAGTAACAGAGAGAGACAGAGAGAGAGAGAGAGAGAGAGAGAGAGAGAGAGAGAGAGAGAGAGAGAGATTGAGAGAGAGAAAATTGAGGAAAAGAGACAGAAAACTTGTGTAAAAGATTTTCTGTATCGAGAGTGGAAGTGTGCATTCCGTACGAGAGTGTTCCGAGTTGTGACAAAGAAGGCGTCTAATCAGTCGCATCGACGACGACAACAGATTCTATTAGTCGCTAAAACTCTTACCTTTGTAGAGACAATTACGTTGAACAACATCCACAGATTGTTAAACAAACACCAGGGTGGGGAGACTCCCTTCTGACGTCAAGTGAGTGGAAGCATCAAGTCTGTCGAAGAAACAAAATAAAGAAAGACACTGAAAACTGAGAGAAAGAAAAGACACAATAATTAGTGATCAAGGTCTACCTCGGTAACAGCACTTTTCTGAGTTCAGGAAGCATTACATAAAGGTCTATCAGCAAGAGGAGTTCCGAACCACATTCCCGGTGAAATACCTGATACTGATGACGATAATAATGATGATACTGATAATCCCATTAATAATAATAA